TCTAAAAAATACGGGACCCTACTTTGCTGACCATAAATAACTGAGTTTTAAATTTTTTGCCTCGTAGGCTCCACGAGCATATAAAATCCCAATAAATGCACGTATTTCCGGTACTGTTGTTGTCCAATCGTTCCTCAAAATTCGGCGGCCTTCTTCTTCTGTGCACTTTTTTAAAAATTTCCCCCCCAAGCAGTCAAAATGACTGCTTTCAGGCAATATAGGTATAACACACACACACACACACACACACACACACACATATATATATATACCGGAAATGAAGGAGGGGGAGGTAACTACAATTATTAATAAACGCATTTATATGTTGTATAAAAAGTCACAAAATTCTAAGAAATTCTGTCATTTATATACATCATTGTTTTTCTAATTGAAATTAAAAAGCAGTCAAAATGACTTCCTTGGGCAATCTAGTGTTAATCAGGACTGTCCTAACACTGTTATTTGGCACTCCCTTATACTATCGCCCAGTCTTACTTATCCACTTTTCCTCAAGTATACCCAGTAACACAGAAACTTTGTTGAATGTCTTGCAGAACTCTGGGTATACCACAGTCTCCTTTTTTTCTGTGATCTAGGATCTAGTCTCCTCACTCTTCAAAGAAATTGTGGGTATGAACGGTAAACTGCCAGGTGGATGTGTGTTTGCATCTGTGACCGTTGGTGACCAGTAAAGGCTGAATGTCAAAGAGGAAAAGGATGAGCTCATTGCCACTTATTATTTGTGAACTTACCCTGGCTCTTTTTTTTTTTTTTTTTAAAGATGTATTTTTTTAAATATATTTTATTGATTTTTTACAGAGAGGAAAGGAGAGAGATAGAGAGTTAGAAACATCGATGAGAGAGAAACATCGATCAGCTGCCTCCTGCACACTCCCCACTGGGGATGTGCCCGCAACCCAGGTACATGCCCTTGACCGGAATCGAACCTGGGACCTTTCAGTCTGCAGGCCGACGCTCTATCCACTGAGCCAAACCGGTTTCGGCTTACCCTGGCTCTTAATTAGCAGATTATCTTAAGTGGCAAAAAATCATCTAAAAGATCAATATTTTTAGAATGTTGACCAGGATTGCTACCAGCTTACAGGTATCTTTTTTCCTTTTTTAAAAATAGTATAATTACATTAATCTGTCTCCAAGCTTTAGTCATTTCATCTGTTATTTTCAGCTCCTCAAATGTCACCAGCAAAAATATGGTGCCCTTGTTTTCAGACTCTCAGAACCCAGCCATGAGTCTGTCGGAGCGTGGAGACATACAGGCTTAGCGCAGCCAAGCATTGTTTCATGTGTGTATGGTTTGCACTCATCCTCTCCAGTCTTTGTGTTGTGTTTCAGTGGGAAAGGAATGCACGACAGGAAAATAACTGTCCCATGTGAATTAAAGAAGTCCACTTTGTAGTTTTCTTCCCTTAAGTTTTCCATTGTCCTTAGGAGTAGCTCTCTCATTCATTAATTTAACTACTTATTGAGCTACTACTTGGGTGCTTTTGAAATGACAGATGGTCTCCACTTTCTGAAAATGTATAATGAAACAAGTATGGAAGATAAAATGTATTAATGTGTTAAGGCCACAGTACTAACAAAATTGCTCAAGTATGGGTTGCTATTTTTGTTTTATTGCAAGAACTCAGTTTGATTGTGGAACAGGACAATTAAGGAATTATATTAAGCATCAATTTTCAGCTTTTTTGATCTCATGACACACATAAACTAATTAAAATTCTACGGCACACCAAAAAATACTTTTTGCCAATCTGACAAAAAAAAATAGGTATAATTTTGATTCATTCCTACCAGACAGCTATTGTTGTGTTGGCTGTCATCATTTTTTATTTGACAGTGTAAGGGAAAAGAAGTCAGTGCCCTGACTAATAGTCAGGTGTTGCATGTTTTAGAAAGTCCCACAGTGGCACACCAGTTGAAAATCGCTGGTACTGAGGAGCCAGGAGCCTCATGGGACTCCAAGGCACATTCAGTTCTGACCAAGAAGTATCACTGAGAAAGATCAGCAGTTTTAAGTTGGAGGTCCAAACTTTCATATCATATCCATCACAACTTCCTGGTTGCTCCTTCACTATGTGAATAACAGGAGCCTAGGAAGGAAATTGGTGCTTTTACTAAGCTACCCACGTGATTCTCACTGAACTGGAAGCTCAGTAGGTAAAAGAAGTGACTTTTATGTCCAGTATCCTACAGTATTGCTACTGGCTACAGGACATGATATTGTTTTCACCTGACCATTTTTGATCAATAAGATGATTTTTTAATGATTCAACCAAATAATTGCTCAGTAAATATTTGTAAAATGAATGAATGAGTCCTATTTCACAAACTTTTGTGATAACTACAAGGCTGTATTTATTATCACTTTGTTATTTCAGGTTGAGTGTTTACTTGGCCCATTAGTAAATAGACTGTCCTCAGTTATTGTTTTATAGTTCTTTCTGAAGATAGGTCTCCCCTCTTGCCAGTTTAAAGCTCTCTGATGAAGAAAGTTTATTTCTAGGCACATGCACCCTTCCTCCCCACATCTTCATAGATAGGTTTCATCTCTTGGAAAGAATCCATCCTCCTAAAGTCTCATCCAAAATCTTCTCTGGGACACCATTCGTTTAGCCACCCACTTTTTATATTCTTCTTTCTTTTTCCAGTTGTTTACATGAAGTTGGGGGACATGATGAAAAACACCATTTATGTTACCAAATTCCTTGTTTCTGGCACGGTGCTTTTTATAGGTAGTTCCCAGGCTGTCCCCGCTGTTGTCATTCAAACTATACAAATTAGAGATTGTAGTTGGCAGGAATGAAAAGAATCACCAGGCAGAATGTGTCTCTGATCCTGGTAACTGACGAAGTTTCCAGTTAACCATGGTAGGGAAACACAGGGTCCTTTTCATACTACTCATTAAGCTGCCTTTGCCTGGATCTCATCTCAGGCTGCCTCGAGCTCGTTGACATCCATCTGCAAGAGTCGTCTAAGCCATACTTCCTTCTCCAGCAAGCCTGGACTCTGATTTTGATAGCGCCTCTCCTGCTGGTGTTTCTCCAGCAGTGCAGTCTCTTTCCTTCCGCTGTGTTGTATTGGTCCTGTTTGATTTTCCTACCTCACCCCAATTTTTCCTGAGTTCCTTTCTTTAAAAAGATTATTTCTTTCACTTTATATTAATGGGTGAAAAATAAAGTTGAGATCATGGAAAAGAAAACAGTCAATTTTATTGTGGGATTTTTTTTGAGACTATCATTTTTTGATGTACATGATTATCATACTTCAATTAACTTGAATGTTTATTTAAATACAGCAGCTGCTCAGCCAGGAACTGAGATCTTTAACCTGCCAGCAGTCACTACCTCAGGTAAGATTATTTGCAATGAAATTGGTATAATAGCAGTCAATCCAACAAATATGCATGGAGTATGGACTGCATCCTAGGGGATTACTTCACTATACAAAAATGATTAACCGCTCGTAATTTAATCAAGGAGATAGCAATAAACAGTGAATTGAGATTCAATAAATACATGTTGAAAAGATAAGTGAACAAAGAGAAAATGATTAAAGAACAGCATAGAATCTAGGAAACAAAAGAGAAGAAAACTATCTTAGTAACTTGAGCACAAGTGGGTGACAGTCATTTAGCAAAGAAAAACACATTTCCATGAGTTATTGGTAGATTTAGATGGTCTTTGTGTGGGCTCTTAGTGTGGTGTACTCAGTGAACTGAAGGACGGTGTGTAGTCTGTTCATTTCTGTTTCCTGAGGGATCTCAGAAATAAGCAGAATATTGTGTGTGTCTCTTTCAGGCTCAATTAGCTCTAGGGGTCATTCTTTCGCTGATCCTGCCAGTAATCTTGGTCTAGAAGATATTATCAGGAAGGCTCTCATGGGAAGCTTTGATGACAAGGTTGAGGATCATGGTGTTGTCATGTCCCAGCCTGTGGGAGTGGTGCCCGGTGGTGCCAGCACCTCAGTTGTGACCAGTGGGGAGATGCGGAGAGAAGAAGGGGACCCATCACCTCATTCAGGTAAGGTTTGCATTTTAGTGCCCTTCTCTTTCTTTCCCAAAGAAAAGCCAATTTATTCCCCAAGTCCTAATGCATCACTAAGAGATTTCATTTACATTTGCAGAATAACCTTTGAGGGTTTTAGTTACTCAAAATAATTTTTTATCCTACTCAGACATTTTAGTCACATGAACAAAAATAAAGACAAAATTTTTCCCAGAGTGTCACCCTCCAGCATAGCTGTTTTTATTTTTGTTTGCATCTAGTCCTTATCTGTGTGCACACATTATAGTTATAACACAAGTGCAATTTCATATTCTGCTTTTGAATAACAGTGACTTACTATTGTAATAAAATGATAGTTTATCATAAAAGAATTTTATACCATAGAAAAAAGTAAGAAGGAAAAAAAACGTTTAGAGATCACATTACCCAGAAAGCTAGTGTTCTTTGAGGAATGAGCATCATTGTGGACATGTCACTGGATGGACACACATAAAAGGGAAAATAATGAAATCATCGTGTACATCCTATTAAAGCAAGCACACACAAAATGAGTGACACTCAGCTTTTAATGTTTATTTGTACCTTTTTAAAAATATATTTTTATTTATTTCAGGGAGGAAGGGAGAGAGAGAAAGAGAAACATCAATGATGAGAGAGAATCATTGACTGGCTGCCTCTGGGCATGCGCTCTGACCCGGAATCAAACCATGATCTCCTGGTTCATAGCTCGACCACTGAGCCACACTGACTGAGCCGTAACTTTTTTTCTTAATCTTTTGAGAATTTCCCTTACTCTTAAAAAATTACCTGAAGGTCAGCATTATTTCAGGTTTATTTTTCTTATTGTCAAGGAAAAGATCTAAGGTTAAGAAAAAGATTAGAGATTAGAGGTTTTTATTATTTTTACCTAAGTATATCAATTTTAGGACAATGGGGGTTCACTTCCTGCTCTGAAAGATGAGCTTTGTTTTCCCCTTCCTGCTCTTATCTTTGATTTTTATTCATTCAGTGTGTATTTTAAGGTTATAACATTGGTGACTATTACACAATTAAAATTACCCTCGTTGTATCCATTTATTATGGGATTTCTTTAGGTGAGGTTTTCACACTCCATTTTTTCAAAAGGATGCTATCATCCAAGAAATTCCATGCTAGAGAATATCTTTTTGTTGCCTTTATCTTTGAAATAACAGCTTGGCAGGTTATAATACTTTTTTTTTTTTTTAATATATTGTATTGATTCTTTTACAGAGAGGAAGGGAGAGGGATAGAGAGCTAGAAACATCGATCAGCTGCCTCCTGCACACTCCCTTCTGGGGTTGTGCCCGCAACCAAGGTACATGCTTTTGACCAGAATGGAACCCAGGACCATTGAGTCCGCAGGCCGACGCTCTATCCACTGAGCCAAACCGGTTAGGGCAGGTTATAATATTCTTAACACATACTTTTCTCCAAACATCCTATAGATTTATTTTTTTCTGACATTCATTGTTATATAAGAAATAAGGCCAGATGTGCCCCCCAACCTTGGCCCTCTTTAGCAGGTGACAATTTTTCTGCCCGAAGAGTCCTTTTTTTCCTCAATTTCAATTAACTATTAGCATGTGTTAGTATTCATCATTTTGTATTAGGTTTTCCTGACCACAGGTGGGTGTTTGCATTTTCAGGTAGATTTTTATACTCAGAGGAATGTTCATTTAAGTGGTCCGCTGAGTTACTTTCTCTCTGTTAGGCTTTCCATTCCAGAAACATGATTATCTTCTTGCTAGGTAGTCTTGTCTTCCAAATCTGTTACCTTCTAATTAGTTTAATCATCTTGATCTCTTGCTGTTGCTTTTCCTGTATCTCTGAAAAATTTTTCCTTTGTGTTAGTAACTCCCTTTTGTTATGTCTCTTATCATCTTGGGTATTTTGTTTCCTGCCTTTTCACCTCATTCTTGGATTATCTCTTCTCTGAGCTTCTTTTGTAAACTGGCTTCCTGTATTTTGAAGTTTATCTTCAGTGTACGAAGCACCTTCTCCCCCTTGTTCTATTATATATTCTCATATCATCAAGGACTTGCATTTCTTTCCAGATAGTTGGAGGCATAGGAGTTGCTTTGTACCCACTTTTTTTCTGTACCCTGAAGGGCATGGGGCAGGATGAAGGGTTCTGCTGGGCGAGGAAGATGCTGACAACCTAGGCTCTGAGCTCTTCTGAGCTCTTTTAATGTTTTATGTTGGAGCCCAGCTGGGGCTTCCCACTCCTGGGAATTTCTGCTGAGGTCCAGTGGTGCCCTGGAGGGGTTCCGTTCTGCCGTTTTTGTCCCTTTGACACGTCTCCTTGGGTGGTGTAATAGCTCTTCTGCATGCTTCTGAGTTGGTGGGGGAGGGCTAGTGAGGATTTAAGAGTTGTATCAACCTGCTTTGATTTCCTAAGCCGTTTCTGTGCTCCAGGCCAGGAAAGAAATGATGTTCCACAAGTTTTAGTTCTTCGTCACATGTTTTTAAGTTTATGGCATAAGGACATACCCCTTTTTTGTTTTAGTTGCCATAAGTATATTCTGGCTTTCTTTTAAATATTTTTACCATTGGATACTACAATCTGGGATCTTCATGCTACCACTCAACTTTTCACTTAGCATTATATAGCCATCAGCATTTTGGCAGGATTAGTTTGGTTTTTTGTTGTTGTTTATAGCATTTAATCCTCCCCCGGGGATATGTTTTTATTGAATTTTCAGAGAGAGGAAGGGAGATTGCAGGAGAGGGGCATGGATCGCTTGCCTCTGACATGCACCCCAGTCAGGGATCAACCCCAAAACATGGGCATGCCCCCATCAGACATCGAACAGCGACCTTTGGTGCACAGGACACCTCTCCAGCCAGCCAAGCACACGGCCAGGGTTTGGTAGGTTTGAAGTTGAGAACATAATTACTATAATCACCAATTAATTTATTTCACCCTTAGGAGTTTGCAAACCAAAGCTGATCAGCAAGTCAAACAGCAGGAAGTCCAAATCTCCTGTCCCTGGGCAAAGCTACTTAGGAGCTGAGCGGCCCTCTTCAGTCTCCTCGGTGCATTCAGAGGGGGAGTACCACCGGCAGACGCCAGGGTGGGCCTGGGAGGACAGGCCCTCTTCTACAGGTGAGGGGCTGCCTGCTAGAAGATGAGTCTTAAAGTCCTTATAGTAATGCCTTGGTTAGTATTTCTAAAATAAGAAACTTTGCTTGTAAAACTATATTTCCATTACTGTGTCATCAATAGGCTCGCTTTTGAGAATAGAAATTGAATACATGTAGCCTTAAAAATGTCAGTAACACAGTGTCTGATTACCGTGAACAGAGGAAGAGCTATGCGGAAATTTCTCATCCATCCGCCCTTCTATGTTATGTTGGCATTTGCAAAGCAAGTGTGTCTGTGGTTTCAGTTATGCATGAATTAACTCTACCTAGATGTGAAGTGCCACTCCCCCAGCAGCCTCACCTGCAGCCTTTCCCCGACATCCCTCCAGGGTTCTTAGGGAACACTAGGGTATCCAAGTCAGAGATGGAAAGAGCAGTTTAAAAAGACACTTGCCCGCCCTAACCAGTTTGGCTCAGTGGATAGAGAGGCGACCTGCAGACTAAAGGGTCCCAGGTTCGATTCCAGTCAAGGGCATGTACCTTGGTTGAGGGCACATCCCCAGTAGGGGGAGTGTGCAGGAGGCAGCTTATCGATGTTTCTCTCTCATCGATGTTTCCAACTCTCTATCTCTCTCCCTTCCTCTCTGTAAAAAAAAAAAATCAATAAAAAAATATATTTAAAAAATAAAAAGCCACTCACCCTCCTTTAGGTGCACTGTATCCCTACAGACAGATGAAAATAGTTCTCTAGCATTTGTGCCCGTTTGAAAGCTGCTTTTTTAAAAAGACTTAATAATGGTGTCTTTTAGAAAACAGACTTACCCTTTTGTAAAAACAAAACTGGGATGTGTGCTATGGATTAAGTTTCAGAGAATTATAAGCCACTCTTTGCTTAGGTGTTAACGTACAGATGTCAGTGGGAAACTCTGAAAGGTGCCCTCCTCTGAGGACATGTACATTGCACACGGGTGTTGTCAGCATAATTGAAGACTCTGATTCCTAAAATTCTCACACCAGATGTGAAGTCCTTATGTACTAGTTTGAAGACTTGCCTAGATCAGTGATTGTCCTCAAATCTCTCTTAGGGAAGGAATTATTAAACCATTCATGAAAGTACTTAATAAAATGGTATGCTTTCTGTGAGAGGTTCTGAATCTGTAAGAGACTTTCTGGGGACAATAAGATAATTTAGAAACTGACAAACGGTAGCAGTGCTATCATTAGGTTTGTGTATCCCTCTTCTAAATCTTGTACATTCATAAATCTGCCCAGTGTGATCCAGCAGATAGATGACACTCATCCTGCTAACCTTGACCTAGCAAATTCCTGGGTACTTCTCCCCTCATCCTATGGACACTGTGTCCCTGACTGTAAGAGTCAGGAAGTTCTGGGAGTAACCACACTCCTTTGTTAGAGTTTCGTATCCAGAAGTTCTGCTTATATTCTCTGGAAACACCTAGTTCTAGACTTAAAATCCAGGCCTGAGCTTTCATTTCTGGACTCAGCAACCCTCACCTCACGTGTGTATTCATGTTGCTTGGCCTTTCTAGACTGCTGCATTATCACTGGCTACGGTCCAGTGGGGAAACTTGGCCCTCTGTGTTGTTTCCTTTTGCTTAGTTTTACAAGATCATTTTAGTATAATCCTGGCCTCCTCCATCATGTGAAAACAGCGACTATGCCCATGACAATGAACACGCAATTTTTCTTTTGCCAGGCTCAACCCAGTTTCCTTACAACCCTCTGACTATGCGGATGCTCAGCAGCACGCCCCCAACCCCGATCGCATGCGCCGCCGCCTCTGTGAACCCAGCAGCCCCTCACCAGCAGAACCGGATCTGGGAGCGAGAGCCGGCCCCGCTGCTCTCGGCGCAGTACGAGACGCTGTCCGACAGTGACGACTGAGCTGCACAGAGCGGGATCTGGGTGGGACCATGCGTGGAGGAGGGATCTCCAGTTTTTGGTGGTTTTGTTTTTAACTGCAGGTAAAAACCTGCCTTCTCATGACTTATGCCCAGAGACTTTTCAGGAGAGCCTGGACCACGGATGAGGAAGAAATGATGGAACTGCAGAGTCAAATGGGGGAGAACTGCCTTTGATACAAGCAGTTGGGTGGATTATAATAATAGTGGAAGGTTGGAATGTAGAATTTTTTTAAAGTGGACAATGCTGATTCTTACATCTGTAAAGAAAACCATAATGTCTTTAAATCACTCTTCTGTAAATAGATGATCTTTTTGCAGTGTTGCCCTTCACTGTAGTACCTGGTGGACTTGTGTTGAAATCAGAGCATCAACTTCGGGAGTGACTTTTTAAAACCTTCTGGTCTATCTTTTTAACCCTGGCCTTCTAAACAACCTCATACAGCCCAGCATGTAATGTTGGCTGTCACGGGCATTGTACTTTTATCCTATTGTTTCCTCTAAATTCAGGTTCCCAGGTGATATTTAAAATCTTGTGGAAATGTTTAGATTTTTAACACAGACCCTATTGTGAAATCTGTATATTAATGTGTTAAGGTCAAGTTAGAAAAAACAAAATTCTGCCATACTGTAAATTTCCAGGCAGGCTTAGAAATTTTTTTAATTAGGAGCACTGAAGCAATATTACTGCATGGGTATGTTCTAGTTGTTTTTAACATTTCAAAGGCTTATTTGCGGCACGCCTCGCTGTTGTGCGCACCGGGGATCTAACTGCCCTGAGTGTTCTTTTCTGCTGCATTGGATGCAGCACCAGAGCTTTCCTTCTGAAATAAATTTGACTGCCCTGTCCATAGGCACAGTAGGTTGTGATTTAAGGCTCTTGCTCTCTCAGGACTCAAAGGAAACACTTATAATTGTACTGAGTTCGATGTACATTACCGGCTGAGTTAGAACATAGGATTTGTGTAGCACCTTGGGCTTCTAGATTGCTTTGTGCTGCATGTACTGACCTTAGCGGTGAACACACGGTCCTTCCCTTCTCTCTGCGCTAGTGCTTCCTCCCACTTGATTCCCTGTGGGCATGGGTTTGTCGTTGAATGTTCTCATGTCACTGAATCTCAAGGAGCAAATAACGTAAGACTAAATTTTAAACTGATTATGGTACTGAAGGGTCAGTTTTTCCTTCATTAATAATTGCTTTTTGAATTTTTCAGATTTTTTCATACAACTTAGGCATAGTATTGCATCATCCTTCTGCAGCATTTAGATGCTGAGCAGCTTGGGGAGATGCCACTATTATAAGGGGGAGAAGTAGTCTCGATGGTAGAAATCTGCACTTCACACTTTTAAGTAGACCTCAACTTTTTACAAAAGTACTGAAGCCTCTAAGGAAAGCAGATCTGATAACCACTGACGACCTTTGTAATGAAGCGTTTCATGTGTGATCAAGACCTTCACATCACCCTTAGCACTGCTGTCCAACCCGATTTATAGATAAGGACACGTGTTCCTACCTTGCCCGTATAGTTGATAGGCAACAAAGACAGGCCATGAACTCCTGTTTGTCTGAAGTGAAAGCCTTCACTCCTGTTGCTATTCCACTCTTGTATACCTGAGGTCCTCAAAATAAACCTTAGGTCAGGTTTAGTTATCAGATTTCTACTATGTGGAAAGTTGGTTTCACTTTATTATAAATATCCTACACAATTTAATGTGAATGAGAAAATAACTGAATGTTCTACTTAACAGTGTTCTGTTTTTTTGGTTTTTTAGGTACTGATGTCATTGATAATTTACATTGTCAACTGACCCAAGTGAGATGAGGATGGTATTTTCCTATGACCTCGAAGGTCTTAAGCTAATCCAAGTCAGAATAGTTTCTGAGAATACATCAGAGCCTAACTTGTCATTTTGCAGCCCCACCTAACCCCCCAGTGAGCAGCTACTATCCCTCACCCCATCCTTGTCACAGCGCATGTGTTTCCTTCATCTGCCTTCTCCCAGAGAGATTTCCGAATTCTCACGTGCCTTACCTAAGCAGCAAATCTGGAGGCTAGAAGTGCGCCTCAGCATGACCGGAGGTGGCCAGCACAGCACTGAGTTACCGATGACTTGAAGTTGGCTGTAAACCAGGTGTAACTCTCCCTGCAGGCTGAGATCTCAGTGTTCTGAAGTATTTTTTGCCAATCTGACAAATAGGTATAATTTTGATTCATTCACACTGGACGGCCACTGTTGTGTTGGCTGTTATAACTTTATTTAACAAACTAAGGGAAAAGAGGTCAGTGCCCCTGACTAGTTGAGTACTGCATGTTTTAAAAATTCTTGCAACAAACAGGCTGAAAATCGCTCATTTAAGCCATTGATTTGGGTGCCACTGATACTGGGAAATTTCCTACAACAAAAAGGGACTCAGAACTTGATTAAGTCAGAGGTCTACTTTTTCTGATTTCGCATGTTTTTTCAGCACCAGGTTTTCCTAATGCCCTCCATGTGAGTATTCTGACAGCCCAACTTCCAGAGCACGTTTGTAACGGGAGATTCCATAAAGCTTTCATTTCGGTGTGTTGAGTGACCCTATTTTAAACACACACCCTCGCTGGTTTGGCTCAGTGGGTAAAGCATAAGCCTGCGGACAGAAGGGTCCGGGTTTGATTCCGTCCAAGGGCACAGGCCTAGGTTGCAGGCTTGATCCCCAGTAGGGGGCGTGCAGAAGGCAGCCGATCAGTGATTCTCATCATTGATGTTTCTCTCTCCCTCTCCCTTCCTCTCTGAAGTCAATAAAAAGCATATAAAAAAATAAAAGCATGCCCTGAACACTCTAGAATGAGAATACCCACAGGAAGCGACCATCTTTCTGAAAACTAGTTTTTCCAGCACCAGGTCCATGAGTTAATAAAACCTGAAGTGAAAAACCTAACTTCCAGTAACCCCTGCAGCTGTGAAAAGGTAAAAATATTCCCAATGCAGAAGGTGAGTAGTTGACAGTAATTTTTTAAAATCATCAATAAATGAAGAATGGGCTACACCGAAACCTAGTCTGCTTTATACTGCACTTTATCTCTGAGTTAAGACTTAACTGAAGGAATTAGCTGGCTGGCCAAGAATAGATGAGCTTAAAGTGAGAAGAAGCTTACATCTGCAAAATACAAAATTCTAGTTTTAGTCAAATCTCTAATGGTTTGAACCTTAGTATTTTATTATTATTAACTCCAGTAAGTTACTTTTTATGAGCAACTCAAAAATTACGGCATGTGTACAATATTGTTGTAGAGTAATTTATTATAAAAGGATTCTTCCAGTATGTACATAGGAACCAAAAACATAGTTTATCATTCCCACTCATAACCCACCCCAAAGGCATACCAGTAACAAGTGTTCCTTCACGGTGCGAAGAAAAACTGCCTTTCCCGAGGCCACCAGGTCTTTGCAAGGTAAAGCACCCATCTATGCATCTTGTATTTAGACAGTCCAACTTTCAGTGGTTTGACTTAACAATTTTTCAATTTTACGAAGGTGTAAAAGTGATAGGTACTCAGTAGAAACTGGCAGGGTAAACTATTTACTAGGTTAGGTGTTTTTAATACTCGTTTTTAAACCTTCACCCGAGGATATGTTTATTGATTTTAGAGAGAAAGGGAGACAGAAAGAGAAACTTTGATTGGTTGCCTCCTGAAAGCTCCCCAACTGGGGATGGAACCTGCAACCCAGGTATGTGCCCTGACCTGGAATGGAATCCGCACACTTGGGTGCGTGAGACAACACTCCAGCCAACCGAGCCACCCGGCTGGTGCATATTAAATGTGTTTTTGACTTAGGGTATTTCCAATTTATGACGGGTTTATCAGGACATAACCCCATGATGAGTTGAAGAGTATCTGTGCACAATTTCTAGACTGAGGAAAAATAATAGAGTTCTTTCAACACAGCAATCTATTCATTTAGATCATGACCAAGTACCTTCTTACGTGGCCAAGAATCTCTTTTGTCCTTTACAAATGAGGGTACCGAGACCCCATTCCAAAGCCAGGAGTTGGGTCCAGGCCTGCGACTCCTCTGCTGGGCCTATGGTACACGTCAGCACCCCAGGAATGCGGTAGGGCCTACCCTGTGGTGAGGTTCTGGGTGCAGGTGGCTGCTCCATGATTTGTTCTTATGGCAGAGATGCCTGTGTGAATTATACACCCACCCAGGGGAAACTGACCCACCTTAATCTACAATTAGACCTGCATGGAGCACCTAAGTATGCTACACTGAAACACTAATTGACATCTTTAGAAGTCATGAAAGTTGCGTTTCCTGTAAAAAACAAGCGGAGGTGCACAGAGGCTAAGCTGAGGACACTTGAGGATCAAGGACAAAGGGTTTAAGCCAGTGATTTTCAACTCTACATCTCGTGGCACATAAACTGAGTATGAAAATTCTGCAGCACACCAAAAAGATATATATTTTTTGCCAATCTGACAAAGTAATAGGTATAATTTTGATTCATTCACACTGGGCGGCTACTGTTGTGTTGGCTGTTGTAATCTTTTTTATTTAACAACCTAAGGGAAAAGAGGTCAGTGCCCCTGACTAGTCGGGTACTGCATGTTTTAAAAATTCTTGCAACAAACAGGCTGAAAATCGCTCATTTAAGCCACTGATTTGGGTGCCACCGATACTGGGAAATTTCCTACAACAAAAAGGGATTCAGAGCTTGATTAAGTCAAAGGTCTACTTTTTCTGGACAACTCAGCCAATTCTTTCCTGATGTGCTGTATTGAAACCTCATCTCTTTTGAGCTCTGCTTGCTTCAGTGCTTCCTGGTAGATCTCTTTTGCTTGTGCATATCGTTCTAAAATAACCCGGAGAGAAGGGAGAATAAGAAAAAAATGTATGCTTTTAAAGTGATTCTGAAGAGAAAGCACCAGTGATGATACAGGTCGGTGCTGGCTCAGAGAAGTTGTAAGGGGTACAAGTAGAGAACTCTAACCCAGTGCGTGCCGTGGTACTCCTACCGCCCAGTACAGCCCTGGGCCCTTACTCCACTGACCCAGGGCTTCACTCATGGGGAAAAAGGACCTGTCATCCAGGCTTCTGGGAATGATAGGTGAGGCCCTGAGTCCTATGGCACAATCTGTCTAACAGACACTGACACTCCATCTTACCAGCTTCACAAGTACACAGTGAAGAATAAATTAAGTTGTACGTGTGAACACATTTAGAAATCTGTAAAGCACTACAGAACTGAGGTACTATCATTGCAAAGTTCTCTGCATTGATGTGGTTCAGCAAGCTAGTGCAGGACTACAGAAGTTATGTCAATTGAGCACAATGGTATTTCTGCCAAACATACACCCTTTTTTGTATTATTCAACTAGCTTTTAATTGTGGAGCTTCCTCACTGCCCCTTGCCACTGCTTAACACCATTTCACAGATTTATAAATCCAGTAACACCCTCCCTAACGAAATCAAGTGGTCAAGATCACACAGCTCCCTACCTCTGTGCATCAGAACTGCAGCCAGGTTACTCAGCACCATGTGCAGCTCAGGATGTCCTACTTGTCTTGCCAGATCTGACGCCCTCTGCACGTACACACAGGCCTCATCAAAGTGGCCTTGTGCATCCAGGGTGGTAGCCAGGTCACTCATTAGCACAATGGTCTATACAAGGAAGACAAACAGGCAGCTTTTTCTATTAAAAAAAACACCCACAGAGATTTAATGTTAATTTGGAGTTTGATAACCTTCAAATATACTTAAGATTTCATCTGTCCTAGCATTCCACAAAAGGGGAGGAGCATTAGCCACTACAAACAGGTGCCTTTACCATTCACACTGTACAATGGGCAGCTTTAGTTCGACCCTCTGGAAAATGATACAAATCTAGAAACTAGGAACAAGATAAATATAATTTACTAATATAACTAATTATATTAGAAACAAATGAAAAATAATAGCAAAAAGAAGCTATAATATCCCATTTAAGGTTCAGCAATCTTTTTTAAAATGGATTTGAGAGAGAGAAAAACATCTACTTATTCCAGTTATTTATACATTCACTGGTTGGTATTTATGTGCTGTCACTGGGGATCGAACCCAAACTTTGGTATACTGGGATGAGGCTCTAACCAACAGAACTACTGGGCCCAGAGCTGTTCAGCAATCTTAAGAAGCCAGCCACTGCACTGTAGCATAATATCATTCCTACTGATGACCCTGAGACTCATCAAAAAGAAATAGGGATAGCCCAGCCAGTGTGGCTCAGTGGCTGAGCATCAACCTATGAACCAGAAGGTCAAGGTTGGATTCCTGGTCAGGGCACATGCCCGGGTTGTGGGCTCAGTCCTCAGTAGGGGGCGTGCAGGAGGAAGCCAACTGATGACTTTCTCTCATAGATGTTTCTATATCCCTCTCCCTTCCTCTCTGAAATCAATAAAAATATATTTTCTTAAAAAAAGAAAAAAATAGAAGAAATATATCATCCACTTTAGGAAGATTCCCATTAAAAAATTTTTAATGTTGGTACTAAGAAAGGCAAGTCCTCCTCTTCTCCATTAAAGGGACTCTGTAATTAAGCCCTAAATCCCTTTCCTGAAGGTAATTCATAGCCCAATAACTTGCCCTGCTCATCTACCCCAACCTTGAGACATGTCCAGTCCAGTTAAAATTGTGTTGGCAATACCAAGCGTTCACAAAGTGATCCACTTGTTACCTCTACAAACGTTGTTTGATAGAGGAGAGACCCAGAGATGATTTCAACTCAATTCCATGTGTTTAGTGTTCTAACCGAAAGCTTAGCATGCTTTGCTTAAATTCTGTCAGTAGTCTTAAAAATTTTTTTAACGTGCCCCTCTCTCTCCCCCGCCGTTTCCTGTCATTCACCTGGGAGGCAAGGGAGGCAAGGATCCTCAGGAGCTGCTCCCCGTCAGATTCAGTATTCTGAAATACTGTGCTGTGCATTATGAAGCCCAGAAGCACCTGGGTGCCTGGCCAGACCTGCTTTTAGAGAGGTTGCTCTGCGGTGGGAACCAATCCTCCCTCAAAAGGTTCTGGGAGACCCAGCCAGTCACCAGCAGTCCCAAATCCTTCAACAAGCAGGTGGGGGCGGGGAGTGGTAGGAGATGAATGGACTGGGGCATGAGGAGGAGGGCATCCCAAGGACCACCTGCTGATGACATCCCCAATAATGAGGCATTTTACACCCAGAAAGTCTGAAACCTGTTTTCCTCTCTTACCTGTGGGTGTCTTTCTCCTAGTATTTCTTCAGAAATATGCAGAGCTTTTTCATACATCCTCTGTGCCTGCGATGGCTGCTTGGAGGACAGAAGGTAGCGAGCATAAGCATCTAAGCACATACCGAGGAGGAGGCGGGTGTTGGCTTTCTCTTCCACTGAGAAGGAAATAAGAGTGTTGCTGGGATATAACAAGTGCAATACAGAAAGCGAGTCAGAGAACTGGCCAACCTACCCCACTCATTTTTCTTTTTTCCAGGAGCCAAAATACTGAAGTACTCCTGGCCTGACAATTCTGGTAGATTAACATCTACATTGTTTCCTGGACCCAATTTCAGAGAGAGAGAGAATGTGTCACCTGGGCTTGGTTGTAACCTGGGCTTCTGACAGAGTACCTACAAACTGGAGTTATCTAACTACCCTTCCAACTCAGGATGCCAACTGCAAATCCAGGTGGTTGTCTGTACCTCTCTCTGACTGGCTATAAATCAGAGGGCCCCAGGACCTCCTCCTTGGGTTTGATTAATTTGCTAGAGCAGCTCCCAGAACTCAGAGAAACATCTTATAGATTACTGGTTATTATAAAAGGACATAACTCAGGCACACCACTGTCCCAGCACCTCCACAAGTTCAAACCAGAAGCGCTCCCGACTCCATCCTTTCAGGTTTATGTAGGCTTCATTCCATAGGTATGACATTAAATCATTGACCACTGGCCTCTTTTCCCTTTCTGGAGGTCAGGAGGTGAGAGTGAAAGTTCCAACCTCTAATCATATGATTGGCTCCCACTGGCAACCAGCCCCCATCCTCAGGGACTTCCAAAATGCCTCATTAACATATCAAAAGACACTTTGCTCACTCTTTTCTTTTTTTTTTTTCTAACTCTCAACACTTAGGAAATTCTGAGGGTTTGGAAGCTGAGAGCCAGGAACTGTACAAACCACATACGTATATGTGAGAAATATATATTTGGTCATCTGAATGATCATATATGTATTTCCTATAAATCACAACCTCGCAATGTCTAATTAAATGATAAAACTCAAAGTAGAATGAGTTAACAACAAAGAAAGTCTAGGGCCAATCAAAGAGTTTTAAGCAAAGAAAGCAATGTAATAAGTAAGAAACCAGAGAACATCAGACTCATGAGATGGAAACTCACAGACCAAATTTAAAGACCCATTTTAAAGATGCATTTTTTGAAGAATAACAATAAAGGCTGCAATAATACAGCACCTGCTGACACATTACAGAACTGACCACACGATATCTGAAAAATCTTAAAACACCAAATGCCACATAAGACTGGAGAACACTAATTTAGAGAACAGTTTTGTCTGATCATAAATGAGAATCAGCAGACAATAAAACGGAGGCCTCACCCTTAAGATTTTAGATACTTAATCCCAGACTATAAACTCAGTCGGTTTAAACTACTTGTATGTCGAGTGTGCGCCATCTCGGAGCCCTGCACCTCTTCCTCCTTTGCCTGGAATTCTCTTCCCTCAGAGACTGCCAGCTGATTTATTCCCTCTCATTCTTCAGATTTCTTACCAATTAGGCCTTTCCTGACCCCTCTAGAAAACAGCATACTCACTATACACATTCCTTCAAATGACATCTATGTACCACTTCATCATCTTTGGATATGTTATTAATTTACTGGATATTGTTGATTATGTGTTTTTCCTCCACTAGAAATTTAGCTGTAGGAGGCAGTGACTGTATCTCAGTGCCTAATAACGTGTCCAGCATGTAGCAGGCATTCAGTTAAGTATTTCTTGACTGACTGGTTGAATGAATGGACAAATAAAAAGAAAGCATTAAAAATAATAAAGGTACTGAACTACATATGGGAAGGATATAATAACAGAAAATTAATGTTAATTTGAGAATTAAACAACACTATCACTCCATCGATCTATGATAACTCAATATAGAGCTGTCATTACAACTCCGTAAGAAAAGGATGGAATGACTAATAAAGCAGTCCTGAGCCAAAACCTGTCCATGAGGGGGAAAAAATTATACTGCCCCTCATACCACATTAAGAAACAAATTCCAGAAAAAAGATGGGAACCAAGATGGCGACATAGGTTAACGCAGGAGTTTGCTACCTCGAACAACCACTTCAAAAGTGAAACTAAAAGACGGAACGGACATCACCCAGAACCACAGGAACGCTGGCTGAGTGGAAGCCCTACAACTAGGAGGAAAGAGTAACGCATACAGACACTCAGAGGAGGCGCAGTGCTGAAGTCAAATTCTGAGGTGCGGAGTGCGCAGAGCGGGCTGGTGGCGCGGAGGGGGCGGTTGGTG